GCTCCTGTTTTGAACTGTTCGCAAGATGTTGAATTTGATGCTGATGACAATTGCACTTCCAATGTAACTTGGACTGAAGTGACAGCAACAGATAATTATGATAGTGATATAACTGTATTCTGTAACCCGACTGAAGGTTTTTTTACATTGGACAACTACACAGTAACCTGTAATGCAACAGACATGGCAGGAAACATTGGCAATTGCTCCTTCAATGTTTACATTTTTGGTATGTATTTTGTATGTGCATATTTAGAAAAGTCATAATATGCTGCTACATATTGAATAGAATAAACATACATATCGTTTGCGTTTCTACAAAATTTCTTGTGATTACCTTTTATTCTTTAATAGATGTGACTTCTCCTGATGTGATGTGTCCAGACGATATTACTGTTGATACTGACGAAGGTGTTAATACCGCCCTAGTGTCATGGACCTCTGCCATCGCTACTGATAACTGTTGTGAAGATGAAATTATGGAGTCTTACAATGTCACAAACGGCACCGAACTTAGCATTGGAGTTACTAATGTCCTTTTTACAGCAGTAGATTGCTATGGAAATCAGAATGAATGTGTTTTTATTATTGATGTTGAAGGTACTTCAAGTTATTTATTATAATTTTTTATTAATAGGTGAAAATATATTTTCATTTTATGAAGATATATATATATATGTGATATCTTATAAACTAAGTGGGTAGTAGGCATCTTAGCAAGTAAAGTTGGGTTTAGAGGCGAGAAAACTTCTGTTGTGTCAAATGATTTGAACCCAGATTCAAGACATAGAAGAGAAAATTGCTGAACACTCTAGAGCTTACTGCACGTTCAATTAATGACATTTTGCTCACTATCAGACAATGAAGCACCTATGCTTGAATGTCCACCAAACCAAAATGTAACCGGTGATTCCGACTGTATGGCAACTGCAACGTGGGCCGCACCGAATGTCACAGACAACTCAGGAGATATTTTTTCTCCAATTTGTGATTACATGAGTGGAGCAACATTCTCTGAATATAACACTACTGTCACTTGTAACGCTACTGACGATTATGACAACACTGGGTACTGTACATTCAACATTTTCATCATAGGTAAGATATTTGAGAAGGTTTATATAGATATTGATAAACTGAGATCCACACATACACTCACACAAACACACACATACATCTGATAACTTATTTTACTATGAGTTGTTTTTTTTTACATTTGTTGCTGACATAATGACATTTGAGGTAAAAAGAAAAATTTTACATTTGTAGCTGAAATGCTTTTACATTTATAGTTAATCTGATGTTTCACTTTTGGGCCATTTAAAAAAAAAATTTTGACATTTGCAGGATGATAATATTTATCAAAAAATTATTTGTGGTAATTTTTGTATTTGTGGGCTCTACACCACCCCTGATCAATGAGTCTAGCAACGGGGCTATTTAAGGGGCATAGCACCATGGCTTTACTAACATGTAAGTCAAATAAACATCAAACTATGCATTATTTTAGTAGCTTTGGTCTCTAATTAGAATAATGAAGATAAACGACAGTTGATTGGTACCAGATAAAAGTTGTCATTCATTGGAGCAGTCCTTAATTAGAGGGATGCCTGTACTCGACTATGCGTCACTTTACTACTCATCATGCCATTTAAAAACCGTCAATCAACACCAAACCTCTAGATTGGGAAGATGCTGTCTCTTATACACATCTAGATGTGTATAAGAGACAGCCTAAATTGAGATTGCAATAAAGGTTCACATATATACATAATTCATTATTAATATTTATTTTTAAACCTAGTTTTAATAAATATAAATATAAGTTGTGTTTTCACTGCTATATTTACACTGCGTAGCTGTCTCCAGCGCAATCGTGAAGGCGTCCCAATCTGACCAACCAATCAGAATTGTAGACACCTTTTGGAAATAGCATGTAACGATTTTAATGAAACCGCTGACACTGAGGGCGCTACAGAGTGTAGGCCTATATAAGTATGCACTGGTCAAGCGCCAGTAGTTTTGGGATGTCATAATCTCATAATTTGTTGTGAATTTTTTTTTTTTTTGCATATTAAGTAGTCAACATAACTGCTAACTACACCAGTGGAGAACCTCTGAGCCTTGGTGTATACACAGTAGGATATACAGCAACAGATTGTAATGGGAATGTTGGTTACTGTCAATTTACTGTTGAAGTTAAAGGTACTATTAACAATTTAAATATACATTAACATTAAAGGTAATTATTATCAACATTGAATGTTTGATTGCACACTGCTATATTCACTGCAGTTACCAGAAAAAAATCAAAATAAATAACATCATTAAAAGTACTTATCAGTAGTTAAGATTAAGCTCTCTCACATGTATATATTCGAAATATTAAAAAAAACCCCATATTTCTAAATTAAGTGATTTAATTCTACAAATTATTGTAATAATGTTGCAGTAACTGCATTTTATGGATTATAATTAGATTGTGAGCCCCCGGATCTTGAATGTCCTCCGAACCAAAACGTAACAGGCGACGAGAACTGCTTGGCAAATGTCACCTGGACAGCACCCACTGTTATAGACAACTCTGGAGAATCTTTCACACCAGTATGTGATCATATAGGAAGCACATTTTATGATGTCAGCACTGTTGTAACATGTAATGCCACTGACAATTATGATAACACTGGCAATTGTACATTTATCATTACTATATATGGTATGTCATATTTTCATTGTCTTATAATTATTATTAACAAAATATAATGCATTGCGAAAGTTTGTGAATGTATTATTGGTAATAGAACCTGAGGCGGACACAGGATTTGCTGGTAGGGGGTGCGTAAAAGTCTATACGACCTCAGCCCCACCATGGTTGGGACTGAAGTGCGAACATTTTTAGAATATGGGCCTTCAGGTGCCTGAAAATTGCACTCTCATTTCTTTAAAAGCTTACTGGTTATTTATATCACAATACAGTACAACAATTATTTTTTTTAATACAATTTAGGGGTGGGGGTGCGATTGCACCGTCTGCAGCCTCACCCATACATCTGCATCGGAGAAATTGTAGTGTATTAATTTTATAATACCAAGATGAAAGATATTCGAAGTATTATAATAATGCAATATGGTACAAATATGTTAATATTAGAAATTCTAAGTATATATTATAAAAATTATAATATACTCTATTTCAATCAAATCATAATTTTTAATTTAACCAGATGATGAAGATCCAGTCATTAATTGCCCAGCTGACATAGAAGTTTGTGCTGAAACTGGTTCTATAGCAGCATCTGTCACTTGGGAACTCATCAATGCAACTGACAACTGTTGTGACAATGTAAACATAACGTCAGATTACACATCAGGAGATGAGTTTGAAATTGGTGAAAACGTAGTAACATACATAGCCACAGACTGTAGTGACAACTCCGCATTATGTAATTTTACTATAGTGGTGTTTGGTAATGACAATATTTTTTTGTGTTTGTTCAGAATTATTCAGTTATATCGCTTACTGTAGATGGGTTGATTATTTTAAAAATATTATTTTATTGATGTTCAGATTGCGAAGCTCCTGTTTTGAACTGTTCGCAAGATGTAGAATTTGATGCTGATGATAATTGCACTTCCGATGTAACTTGGACTGAAGTGACAGCAACAGATAATCAC